TTTTTTTTTTTTTTTTTTTTTTTTTTTTTTTTTTTTTTTTTTTTTTTTTGGGTTCTGACAAATGGATGTACTGATTGACTGGCACAGGATTCGTTGCGGTTTTCACCCTCCCCAAATTATTTACCCACGGTAAAAAACACATCTCCACGGACTTATAAACTTTTCTATCTTTTATTCTTACTTATAAACTTTTCTATCTTTTATTCTTTTTTGGGTTACAATTCAATACGGCCGAGTACAACAAACCACCGTACTCCTCTGTCTTTTCATCCGTCGATTTGTTTGTGACCCTCTTTTGTTCCCTTCATAAAACGACCACGTTTTAAATTCTAAAATTTCGAAAAGGGAATAAAAATTAAAATTGTTATATACTTTATTTGTCGGTAATTTATTTTCTTCTCTGTAAGTTCTCGTGTCAGTTCTGTCGGATCGGATGATTTAATGTTTGATTCAATCTCCACCCTTCATTTTTCTTTTCTTTTTTTTTGTGTTTTAATTTTAAAATTAAAAATAAATATTTTATTTTCATCTTTGGATTCTAAAAACTTTAATTTGGTTCGTGACTTATTTTTGTTTTTATGTTTCCATTTGAATCACATGAAACTTTAGCTTTAAATATCTAATTATTCTCTTAGGTAGCGTCTACTCCGTTCTTAAATTTTGAAACGGGTTTAGATCCTAATAGGTGTCTCATTCATCGAACTATCCTTAGGTTAGTAGAAACATAATGACTTGCTAATCGAGGGAGCTATGTGTCTTCAAAGTTGCCACGCGAAATTGGTTTCAGTCTCGGCCAATTTTCGTTCGACTGATGTCGGGTACCATTAGACAGTTCTAGGACAGTTCTGAAAAGCTGGTTTGTTTTTTCAAGATCTTAATATTCCCTTGGGAAACCGTGCTAGGACTCGAATTTCGAAGAAAAAAGAGCTTATAGTAGTACTATGCTTACGAGCTTGAAATCGATACCTTAATTGGGTTGTTTGGAGCACACACGCGGAAAAATTGATTATTAGTCTTTGCTATATGAACGCCCATTTGCCCTTTTGATCGGGACGATCGAGGTCTTTGTTTATTGACTTTTTGTTTGTCTATGTGTGTTTCTTTACTTTACTCGTGTGGGAGAAAGGAAGAAACAAAAATGAAGAAACTAAATCGTTATCAAACGAAGTTTGTTTAGAATATGACGCGGATTCGTGTTTATGTTTTTAAGAGTTCTTTTTTTGTGAATTAGGAGAACATTGGTTGAGGCTTTGTGGGAGTTCTTGGCAGCTGAGTTCCCACAAGAAGGGAATGATTGTTGCTATCTTCCTTATGGTATGGAACTTCTCTTCGATTCTATATCGCGTTTGGGCAGGTAAACCATTTCGAACTGAAATCTTAATCTGTTTCGAGATGTAGATTCGAACGTGTAACGTTATTGAAATGAAGTATGATTTTGCAGCTTTCATAGCGTTTGTGAGCTTTCGCTACTACCGGGAATCATTAGGGAGAGATGGTTGGGTTAAAAATGGAGAAGCAGCTCGACATAACGACACGGTTTCGGGTAAGTTCAAAGCTTGAGAGATAATTTTGATCAATTTTGAGGCTCTTTTCCTATGCTTTCTTTTGAGCTAGCTTGAAAATTACCATGTAAATTAATGGAGTATGGTAGAAAGCCATCTTGTTCCTTAAAAAATGGAAAGTGTTTCTTTTTTATTCTCTTTATTTGAATTTGAAAGTGAGAAAATAATGATTATAATTTGTGACACTCGAGTAAATAAGAGGTACATGAATGACTCGAGATCACATGCTGAGAATAGATTGAGGAGGAGAACAAAACACCCTTTACAAGGGTGTCAAAACCTTTCCTAGTAAACACGTTTTAAAGCCTTTAGTGGTAGCCAGAGGGAAACAGTATCTGCTAACAGTGCGCTTGAACTGTTACAAATGGTATCAGAGCTAGACATTAGACTATGTGCCAGCGAGGAGGCTATTCCCAGATGGGGGTAGACATGAGGCGGTGTGCCAGTAAGGACACTGGGTCTCGAAGGAGGATGGATTTGGTAGGGTCCCACGTCGATTGGAGAAAGTAACGAGTGTTAGCGAGCGAGGACGTTGGGCCTCAAAGAGAGTGAGTTGTGATATCCCACATTGGTTGGGTGGAGAAACAAGAGTGGAACAAACCATGTTAGAAACACTCTGTCGGTTTGTAGAGATAGGGTCCCACATCGATTGGAGAAAGTAACAAGTACCTGCGAGGACACTGGCCCCAGAGGGAGTGGATTATGATATCCCACATTGGTTGAGGAGGAGAACGAAACACCCTTTATCAGAGCGTGGAACAAACCATCTTAAAAAGACTTTGTGTTGGTTTGTAGAGATAGTCGGAATGTCATTATCAGAGTGTGGAACAAACCATCTTAGAAAGACTCTGTGTTGGTTTGTAGAGATAGTCGGAATGTCATCAGAATGTTAGAGTCATTAGATACCCGTTTTTCCGGAAATAATTTTGTTTTTTTTTGTGGTGCAAGATATTGAAAATATAATTTTCTTTTTTGCTTATTAATTAAAAAAAAAAAATGAAACATGTGATACATTTAATTCACATGGGTTTGGCTTAATGCAATGAATAGGGACCAACTTTATTTTCTTTTTCTTTTTTTAAAAATAAAAACTTTATTAAATTTCACTTTTATTGACTTTTCTTTCCCATAATTATATTTAACATTCCAATTTGTAGATTTTTATTAGAAAAAGCACTTCAAATATTGTTTCTCTTTGTCTTTCACTATTATTTATTAAAATATTACAAATTTATTATTTATTATTATTACTATTAATATATTTTAATTTGTTGAATAGTTTTCATGGTGGTGATAGTGGATGGAAGCTCAATCCTTTCTAAAATGCTTAGAAACTATGTCTAGTGGATATTATTTAATATCATGTTGTGTATGTAATATAATCTAAAATAATATACCATAAAAAAAAAACGTATAATTATCGATTTCAATATACCCCACCTCGAGCCTTAACCTGCAAGTCAAGATTAAGAGAAAATTTGAAAATTTGGTGTATCAGCCTTGGAGGCTCCACCGCTAATAGATATTGTTCTATTTGATCTTTAAAAGGTGTATGAAGGTTTCCACGCCCTCTGGATTTTCCTCCAAGGCTTTAAAACACGTATGCTAGGAGAAGGTTTCCACACCCTTATAAGGGTGGCTTGTTCTCCTCCCCCAACTAACGTGGGACATCACAATCCACCCCTCTCCGGGGCCCAACGTTCTCACTGACACTCTTTCCTTCCTCCAATTGATGTGGGAGCGCCCCCAAATTCACCCCTTTGGGGCCGGCGTCTTTATTGGCACCCCTTTGGGGAACAGTGAGAAGGTTGACACATCGTCCGATGTCTGGCTTTGATACATTGTAAAAGCCCAAATCCACTGCTACCAGATATTGTCCTCTTTCTTTGGCCTTTCCCGGTCACGCTTCCCTTCAAGGCTCTCCCTCCCTCGTGGCTTTAAAAATGTCTACTACTGTAAAAAGGTTTCCACACCCTTGTAAATGGTTGTTTGTTCTCTTCCCAACCAATGTGAAAGATGAAAACTTGCAAGTTTAGTATCAATTCAGATCAAACAAGTGCTTTATGTTACATTTTAATTATGCTCTAAAGTTGTACGATGATTAGTTTAAGGGGGAGAAAATATGATCATTTATAATAATTTAATTATATTTTTAAGTAACTAGTGGTGAGAAAACTTTTGTCCGGTAGCTGCCGACGGGGGACGGGGTGGTCCAGCGGCGGAAGAGGCTATATTTTTTGAATTTGACTAAGTTGTGGAATTTAAGAATGGCCGCCGCCGCCGCCGCTAGTTCCGACATTCAGTTGCTGACGGGTGGCCGCCACGTCGTGCTTAGACTTCCCTCCAATTTTTGCCATATGTTTTTTTCCACCCTAATTTAATTCCATTATTTTGGTTTATTATTTTTATAAAAAAAAAACAAAAAATATATCGAATGTTTAATTAAAAGTTGATGTGTCTGAATAATTTAATTAAATAATAGAAAGTATAAATAATAAAAAATAAATTGAAAAAAAATGTGATTTAAATTATATATTAAATTTTTTTTTTGAATAATTTCTGTTGCACATGCCACCTCGTTCTAATCTTATCACATCCGTCCCATCACATATTATTTGCCGTGACACGTGGCAGTCCAGAGTTAGGTTCGGTTGGGACCAGTGGGCCCCTGAAAATTATGAATCAACGGAACATATATTCTCAGACAGCACAGCTAATCAAATGAACTTTTAGCGCTTTTACAACTTTACCCCTTCACGAAAAGGCACAAGAATCTGTTCATTTGTATGCCGGGGTAGAATCGTAATTTCCTATTTTTCTAGTTTGGTGGGCTGGCTCTTGGCGGTTTCGAGGAAATCAGACGAAAAACGACGTCGTTTCGATTTTAGTTGTTTATTTTTTATTTTTTTAATGGAATATATCGATAAGAAGTACACGTAGTTAAAAGCTTTCATATTTATCTTTTTTATTCTATTTAATAAAAAATTATTGTTGATTTTTTTTAAATTTAAATTTTAGCTGATTTTGCGTTAAAAAAGGACAAAAATATTGCCTTAAAAAATAAAATATATTTTACTTCTATATTCAAATTCCTTAATTTATTACAAATTCAAATTAAAAATAAATATACGACAAAAAAAAATAAAAATAAAGGAAAGTAATTTAGCATTCAATTAAATATTTAATATATTTTTATTGGACGAGAATATACAATTGAATCCCTTTTTCTAAGGAAGCGGAAGCGATAAAGAAGGCAACGTCATGGGGGTATAAGAGTAATTTCATATCCAAAATCCACTATTTAACCGATGAGGCGGCTTCAATGTTAGAAGAGAGCAGAAGAAGAGAAAGGCCTGAAGAAACAGAGGGAAAATAGTTATCGGTAGATCGTCAATCGGAAATTGTAGGGTTTCAGAACTCTGCAAGGGAATGCGGAAAGATGAGATTAGCTTCGTTGATTCAGTCTGAGTTGATCGGGAGATTCAAAATCTTCATCGTCGGCGGCAGAAATTGTCACCGGAAACACGTCGAGGACGGGTGATCTGATTCCTCTCTTTCTCTTTCTCCTCCCTCTTTTTCCTCTTTTACTTAGATTTAATCTGTATCTAAATAAAGAAGGAGTTAAGTGATCTCGAATCCGGCGGCGGATATGGCGGATAAAGGCAGAGATGGTGGCCACTCGAGTTTACTCGACGGGAAGTACGAATTAGGCCGTCTTTTAGGGCACGGGACTTTTGCAAAGGTTTACCATGCTCGAAATCTGCGAACGGGGAAGACTGTTGCGATGAAAGTGGTTGGTAAGGAGAAGATCATCAGAGTCGGCATGACGGAGCAGATCAAGAGAGAGATCTCTGTGATGAAAATGGTGAAGCATCCGAATATTGTTGAGCTTCATGAGGTGATGGCGAGTAAATCGAAGATCTACTTTGCGATGGAGTTTGTGAGAGGCGGTGAACTGTTTACCAAAATCGCGAAAGGTCGGTTGAGAGAGGATGTGGCTAGGGTTTACTTTCAGCAATTGATCTCTGCGATTGATTTCTGCCATAGCCGTGGTGTTTACCATCGCGATTTGAAACCGGAGAATCTCCTCCTCGACGAAGACGGTAACCTTAAGGTCACTGATTTCGGCCTCACCGCCTTCTCGGAGCACTTGAAGCAGGACGGATTATTGCACACTACATGCGGAACTCCAGCATACGTCGCGCCGGAGGTCATCGGAAAGCAGGGATACGATGGCGCTAAGGCGGATCTGTGGTCTTGTGGAGTGATCCTCTACGTTCTTCTCGCTGGATACCTTCCATTTCAGGACGACAATATGGTGGCGATGTACAAGAAAATATACAGAGGCGACTTCAAATGTCCACCGTGGTTCTCATCCGAAGCCCGGCGTCTCGTCACGAAGCTTCTCGACCCGAATCCAGTGACCAGAATCGGGATCACGAAGATCACATCATCGTCATGGTTCAAGAAATCGGTACCGAAGTCTATAATTACGAAGGAAGAACAAGAAGGAATCGAGGAAAATTTCACGAAATCGAAGCAACCAGCGGAGACATTAAACGCATTCCACATAATTTCCCTATCGGAAGGGTTCGATCTGTCGCCGTTGTTCGAGGAGAAGAAGAGGGAGGACAAAGAGGAGATGAGATTCGCGACATCATCGCCGGCGAGCAGTGTGATATCGAAGCTTGAGGAAGTAGCAAAGGCGGTGAAGTTCGATGTGAAGAAGAGCGAATCATGGGTTCGATTGCAGGGGCAAGAAAAGGGGAGGAAGGGGAAACTTGCAATTGCGGCGGATATCTTCGCCTTGACGCCGTCGTTTGTGGTGGTGGAGGTAAAGAAGGACAACGGAGATACTTTGGAGTACAACCAGTTCTGTAGGAAGGAGCTCCGGCCGGCGTTGAAGGACATTGTTTGGACATCTCCGACTGAGAATTCGACCCCAGCTTGAAAAACCTGATTATTATCAGATTGGAAATCGAAGGATTCATGAGACTGTGATTGGATTATCTAATGAAACATGATTTTGTGAAATGGAATGATTTTGTTAATTTATGCTTTTGATGATTGTGATGAATGTTATGATCGTTCGCTTTTTGTTTCATTTGATGTGGGGATTTGTGTTTGGTGTTGTTTATTTGTGGATCATGACAACCCTTATTTTCTTGTTACGCTTGATCTTTCGGTACCTTGAAGGAATTTGTGTGAGTTTCTTTTTGTCCCAAACTCAAATTTTCATTCTTTTCGTAATCAATTACATTTGACACTTATGCATCCAACTCTGAACTATAGAAGAGAGTGGGTGACAGAGATAAACGATAAGTTATGTGGAAGGGGATGAATCATGAACTTAGCTTTCCTTTTCGTCCATCTTCGAATCCCCCCTCCCTTTATTTGACTCACCATAATATCTTTGTGTGCTCTTTTGGATGGACTTGGTCAACTCGAGTCTTAGCAACTTTTATTTACCTATGTCTTAATTATTTGATATCTTTTGTTATAAGAAGCATCCCAAAGGGTATAAGAGGGTTGTTACATGGGCATGGCTTGTTTAGGTTGTTACAAAAGGTATTAGAGCCAGACATCAAATGATGTGCCATTGAAGATGTTGTCTCGAGAGTGAGGACGCTGGCCCCCTGAGGTTGGATTGTGAGGGTGTGCCAGTGAGGACGCTGCCCCAGGGGTTGGATTGTGAAGGTGTACCAGCGAGGACGCTGGCCCCATGGGTTAGACTGTAAGGGTATGCTAGTAAGGACGTTGACCCCCAGGAGTTGGATTGTGAGGGTGTGCCGCGAGGATGTTGGCCCCTCAAATGTTAGTCCCGTGACGAGGACGTTGGCCCTATGGGGGTGGATTGTGAGGCTCTGAGGTTCTACCTCAGTTGGAGAGTAGAACGAATCATTCCTTAAAGCGTGGAAACCTCTTCCTAGTAGACTCGTATTAACAATCGTGAAATTGACGACAATACGTAATAAGTCAAGACAACAAAGGCTCGAAACTTTTAACTAATTACTTTGATATGAAAAGGTGTAAGCAATGTTATCGGGTTTGTTGAGTTGATATTATAAAAAAAAACATATCTTTAATTTGATAAGAATCTTTAAGGATCATTCAAAGCAATAAAAGGCACAGCAACCACCCATGAACAATAAAGGACTTCAAGTAAGTTTTTAGCCCCACACAACTAACACTCTTTTCAGCTTGGAGATGTGGACCAATTCTGCAAAGATATCAACACTTCCATCCATGGATATCTCGATTTTGGCAACGCCTTTACGCTTTCTATTCAAAATCCATTCCATTCTAGTTTGATCAGAGAAACCATACAAAATGAATCTGCTCACGAAGATAACTTATAATATCATAGCTGTTCATGTAACCACTCTCGTTTTCTTTATTTCTTCTTAGTTGCTTGGCTAGTAGTAGGTATCTGGTTCATCGCTTTAGCTATTATCTCTATGACTTTAGACTTTATTGGTTTCAATTTCAACCACTCGCAAAAGAAACAATCTCCCAACAACACTGTGATCTGACTCTAACTATGCCAACATAATGCTGCAAACTCCCAACGAGATTTTTTTGACTACCCTTTTCAATCACTTCTTTTTGTCTCGGGAGAACCCTTCTCAACCCATGTTTTTTTTTTTTTTTTTTACGTTTACTGATTGATCGTTTGTGGATGTATATAATAAAATGATGTAAAATTTACAAGAATAAGTGCAAGTATACACTATCACAAGTAACAAGTAATAAAGTAAATTATCGATTCCACATGGAACCTATCTTTTTGGTTAATTTTATCACTGGAGTTTTTGGGTAACATTCAAATGAGTGTTGGAGATTTTAACTATTTAAACAAAACTAAAACAGTGCCACTGCTGTCGAAAAATAGGTAATGAGGAAAACTATAATGAGGAAAGTTCGGCTAAGAGAGATTAAATAAATAAGTTGTTGAGTTTTGTGGTAGATTTTAGTTCCTTTTAATAGATTTTCAAGCCCCGAGGGTCATGAATGGTGATTATTTGTTGTAATTTCTATTAACAAGGCTCTAGGAGTAGAATTATTCATAACCCTTCTATTACCGTTCAAGTCTCCTTGCTATGAAACTAGAGTATTAAAGATGATTTCATTGCTCCCTCTTCTCCCGAATAAGAGAACAACTATGTATGTAAAGTAGCTAATTAAACATACATGTAAATCATTAACAATAACTCTTTAATAAACTAAAATCATACCGTCAACATACTTAAACTATATAAAACTCTCTCGCCTCCCCTATTAAGTTTGGCTCTCCATACAAACTGAATTAAACAAAGGAATCCGCATCTTCATCATGTAAAATCGATGGAATAAGGAAATAGAGAGTTATCCCGTTCGTCAATGGAAGTTCCCTTCTCTTAAGCTCTTACGTCCACCTCTTTGCCCTAATCAATCTTTGTTGGTCTCCTTTTCCTTCTGCTGTCAACCGCGGCTGGATTAGGGTTTTCTTCTTCTTCTCTGGTTTCACAGCAGTTTACTGCAGCAGAGGCTGCTATGTAATTCGATTTTTTTCTCCCAAAGTGTGGCTCTCCTCCTCTTGGTCTTCCTTTTTCCTTTTATATTGAGCATGGGTTCCCCTTTATGGCTTGAAAACGAATAAGTTGTCCACATAGGATGTTTCTCATTCGGTAATCAATGACCCACTTCGACTGCTGATGAATTTAAAATTTCCATGTCATCCCCCATTTATTTCCAGATTTGCTACTCCCTCATGGTTCAGCATAAATGTCTGAAATTTTACCACATAACTCAATTAAATGTACAATTAAGATCGATTTATGCCAAACCATTTTTTTTTTTCATGTTGGACCGCAATAAACGATTTCATGCTCACTAAGTAGTATAAATGGGGTAAATAACGAGAAAATGGTGAATAAGAGTGTCATATTAAATACAAAAAGACTTGATATAACTCTACCTTTAGAGAGTCATCACTGATGCTTTATGGAGTCATGAAAACTCGAAATTCTTGTAGTGATAATCATCTCGTTTTTAGCAACCATGATACTATTTCCTTCCAAAAGAATAAAAGAGAGTTAACGAGTAGTGGTAGATATCGTAAACAAGCTAAAATTTAGAATACAAATCAACTAATAAATAAGATAAAATTCAACTAAAAAACACTCAAATGAAAATATCCATGAACCAATACTTGAATCCTACACGGCCTACTACCCACTTACAGTTTTATTGGTTGAAACGTAATACTCATAACGGTCATATTGTAGGTTCGAGCCCTACTAAGCCTACTACAGGTAGGCTTCACGACGAGTGGACATGAACTACAACCAAACAAGCAAGAGTCAGCCAACTACAAACTCGTGAACTATAAAGAAACCATCTAAGAGACTTGTCTAAAGGACCGAACCCGAAGCTGAGAACAAGATTGCAAAAAAGTGCAACATACCTTCCTGATTTAGGAAGAGCACCATATGCAGAATCTTTCCTTCTAAATAGCAATCCAACAGCTCCAAATCCTTCAACAAAAAAAACTTGAACAAACTACGAACATATCACAAATGAATCTAACTTAATATAGGATCTCACAATCCACCTCCTTTTCAGTGTCCAGTGTCCTCGCTAGCACACCGCTCGGTATCTAGCTATGATACCATTTGTAATAGTCCAAGCTCACCGCTAACAGATACTATCCGCTTTGGTCGGTTACATATTGCAGTTAACCTCATGATTTTAAAACGCGCTGTTAGGGAGAGGTTTCCACACTCTTATAAAGAATGTTTCGTTTTCCTCCCCAACCGATGTAGGATCTCACAATCCACCCCTCCTTCGATGCCCAGCGTCCTCGCTAGCACACCGCTCGGTATCTGGCTATGATACCATTTATAACAGCCCAAGCCCACCGCTAGCAGATACTGTCCACTTTGGCCCATTATGTACTGCCATTAACCTCGTGATTTTAAAACGCATCTGTTAGGGAGAGGTTTCCACACTCTTATAAAGGATGCTTCCTTCTTCTCCCCAACCAATGTAGGATGTCCCAATCCACCCCCCTTCGGTGCCCAGCGTCCTCTAATACCACCGCTAGCAGATATTGTCCGTTTTAGCCCATTATATATCACCGTCAACATCACAATTTCAAACCGCATCTGTTAAGGAGAGGTTTCCACACCTTACAAACAATACCTCGTTCCTCTCCAACCGATGTAAGATCTGACATCTAAAGCAGACAGAAGAGAGAGAGAATGGGAAGTGAAGGCTGACGGAAAGAGACATGAACACACACTAGTAAAGGTATGAATTTTTTTCATACAATTGCTCGGAGTGTGTGCTCACTCTCTTCTGTCAGCTCTTTCAATTCTCTCATCTTCTTGATTGATATTAGGGTTTCTTCATTGTTCTTCCTTTCAATAAACAAAACCCTAAGTTTGTGTCCCTTTCTTTTTGAGCTAAGAAGGTATATAAACACACTCATGCTCACTCATTTATGATGATGTATGAAACAAAAACAGAAAGGAAGGTGGGGAGGAGAAATTATGGGCAGTCACCGTTTTTAATAATTGTTGGATGTTAGTTCGAGGTAAACGTATCCATCGTGTCTTGTCTTGTCTTGAAATGAATTATGTAACTTTTTTTTATTACATCGAACCATTTCTTAGTTGTGTTGTTGTTCTGATATTTTCAGTGAGAGAGAGATAAATAGTATATCAGTGGGCAAGTTGTGGATCTCTATCCATTCGTAACAACTCAACTTTCGAAAAATCTAGACCGTCTAAGTTTCGTTACCAATTACACAATAATGTCATCTTTAAAGCGGAAAAATAAGAACATGCAAGCTGTAAGCTCATATAGTGTTAGAGAAAAACATTTCACTCGTACGGGGTTCCTTTTTTTTAAATGCGTTTCAGAAAACAACCCATTTTCGTTCATTAAGAAACGATAATAAATAAATGGATATTTCGTGTTTGCAAAAACGGACCGAAAAGGGTATTGGACCATTTAGAGTAAATGAACCAAATAATTTGGAAATTGAGAGTAGCAAGTAGTCCCCTCTCTCGTGGTCCTCCTTGGCCTCAAACTATCTAACCTAATAGCTTGTTGATTTGTCGATCTCAACTCCGACGTCATCGATCCAAATCCAAACATAATGATATCTCTATAGCTAACCAACCATGAATCCTTTTGGAACGAACCCAATTCAACTTGATGCTAGAAATCCCAACTCGTTTACTATGTAGGTGTTTCCAAAGGTCGCAGTCTCACAGTTG